TTAATTAGCGCAGCCTATTGTCTGTTCATTTCATTCACATCTACCCTGACTTAAAGTCTGGCATTTTGACTAGAAACTATAGTTAACATGGAAAAATTTGGTAAATGTATATACAAACATCCTGCATCTTCAAAATGACACAAACTTGAAGAATGAGAAATGCTTTGATTTCTGTGTGGGTGGGTTTTCTTACTGTACTAGCCCATACAGATCAGCCAGATGAACGTTAGAGAGGAAGAGTGAAGTGTTAGGGTCTTGATTGAGGGGACACACACCTCTCTCATGAGCTTTGATCAGGTGACGTGGCTCACACCTATCAGCAGGTCATTTATCTCCATCACACCTCCACTGAAGAGCTGTAAAGTAACAGCTGCGTGTCACGCCTCGTCTCTTGGTGTTCCTGTTCTTCTGTGTCTCATGTTCTTCTCTTCTCTTTCTTTCACAGGAGCCTGTAGGCCGTGCAATAACACCGAGATCCTGATGGCTGTGTGCACTAGTGACTTTGGTGAGTATTTGAGTTAACTTTTTGTTCTGCTTTTTAGGATAAATGTGCTTTTATTCCAAGCAATCAGCAGGACTTTTCTACTAAACGGTGTAAATGTCTCTAGGATAGCAAGAAATGCGTGTCACGCCTCGTCTCTTGGTGTTCCTGTTCTTCTGTGTCTCATGTTCTTCTCTTCTCTTTCTTTCACAGGAGCCTGTAGGCCGTGCAATAACACCGAGATCCTGATGGCTGTGTGCACTAGTGACTTTGGTGAGTATTTGAGTTTACTTTTTGTTCTGCTTTTTAGGATAAATGTGCTTTTATTCCAAGCAATCAGCAGGACTTTTCTACTAAACGGTGTAAATGTCTCTAGGATAGCAAGAACCTCAAACCTATAACCTACAAATATGCCAGATTTTCTAGTGGTTTAGTTAAAGATCTGGAGGTCACAGGTTCAAACCCAATTACGGGGGGTCAGCCCTAATTTAGTATCATTAAGAAACTATGTTTTTATTAATATTTTGAATTAGATTTTATTTTATTTATTTTAGATATTTATTTTTTTCATTTTAATTTGATTTAAAATGTTGGTCATTTTGTTGCACTTTTTATTATTATTATTTGATCAGGTTTTTTAAAATATGTATATATAGTTTTTATTACGTTTTTACTTCAGTTTTAGTTATTTTAGTACATCAAGTTAAACTAAAAGAAATGTTTATTTGATCAGGTTTTTTAAAATATGTATATATAGTTTTTATTACGTTTTGACTTCAGTTTTAGTTATTTTAGTACATCAAGTTAAACTAAAAGAAATGTTACATTTATATTTAACATTTGATTTTAGTAATTTTTTGTTTTGTTATTTTTGTTTAAATATATATATATATATATATATATATATATTACAATTTTAATTTGAGTTATTTTAGTACTTTTTTTTTAAAATAATTTTTAGTTTTTATTAATTATTATAAATTTTAGTTATTTTAGTACACAGCTTTATTTTCATTAAGTTAACATTTATTTGAAGTACTTTTTTCACACCAGGTTACTCTTTGCCGTCTTCTACTGTAAACTGCTTTGGATAAAAGTACATTTCTAATTTATTCGCACCAAACCCAATTGGCATCAATCCAGCGGCTGCGATCGAACGCCGAGGTTGCTTTGTTTCTTCTCGATAGGCGAGTAACACTGTGGCTGCGCCACAACAGCTAAATTCTGTCTAGTACACTGGACGTGACAAAGCGACTGTTGAAAATCATTTGAAATTTGTGTCAATACGTCATGAATAGAACGCAGCAGCAGTTTTCTGTCGGGGATTTGTCATGTCATGCCGCGCCGCATCCAGTGTAGACTATATATATGTATGGTGTAGACAGCATCACTGATTATAATGAGTTCTATAGTATTTTGTTACGCCGCGCCACTCGCGTCTGGTGTAGACACGGTGTAACATTGGTTTTGCTTCGTTTCACAGAACATGCATACGTATGTGTGGGGCGGAGCTATCAAAATAGGGGCGAGACCCTTTTGGGGTAGGGGCGTGTTTGTTTTGGTGATTTCAAATGTCAACATTGGCTACCAGAAATCGCTTACCCCACCTATAATTTAGAGGCTTCCAATTGTATTTTCTGGTTTAGAAGGAAATCGTAAACCAACCGAAGCAGCAAAAGCTGAAGTTTGGCACTCATTATTCATCATTCTAACAGAGCTTTCTGTGTTTTTAGTGGTTCGAGGAAACATCCGTTCAGTGGAGACGGACTCAAATCTGAAAGCGGCAGTGATCAAAGTGAGCGCGACACGGGTTTACCGGCAGAAGTTTGCTCTGTTCCCTGAATCCGGGCGTCTGACGCGGTCGGGCGAGATCCGGACGCCTCTGCAGTGCGGCGTTCGACCCGGCGGTGGCAGCTTCCTGTTTACCGGCCGCGTGCACTTTGGGGAGGCGTGGCTTGGTTGCGCTCCACGCTACAAAGACTTTCTGAAGGTGTACGAGCAGGCCAAACAGTCCCTGATGATCCCCTGCACTCTGGTCAACGACTGACGGGAAAAGACGATCACGTGCGGGCGAAACTCGTGATTCTGTCGCAGAAGATGATCTGAGGAACTCCTGAGCAAATGAAAGAAACACAGACAGAAGTTAAGGAGAACAGAGACACTGGAGGAGGAAATCTCAGCAAAGATCACTGGATCAAGATGGATATCTGACGAAGGACGTTTGTGTGTCCATGTCTGTCTAATTCCACCCAGATTTGGGATCCTAAACTGGGCCTCTTTTTTAAACTCAGGAAATCTTGTCTTTGGATGCTTTGATATGAACATCATATCACTGAAATATCCAAAGCTGGTAAATAAGCTGTACGCAATGCATGTAGCGCAGTCGATCAAAAATACAATAAAATGTGAAATATTATTACAATTTAAAATAACCATTTTCTATGTGAATATATGTTCAAATGTAATTTATTGCTGTGATCTTCAGCATCATTACTCCAGTCTTCAGTGTCACATGATCCTTCAGAAATGTCTTGCTTTTATGCACAAGAAACATTTCTGATTATTATCAATGATGAAAACAGCTGTGCTGCTTCATATGCTTGTGAAAACTGAGATAGATTTTATTTTTCAGGATTCTTTGATGAATAGAAAGTAAAAAAACAGCATTTATTTGAAATAGAAATCTTTTATAAATGTCTTTACTGACACTTTTGATCAATTTAATTTATATATGATGAAAAAAAAAACTTACTGATTCCAAACTTCTGTTAGCATAGCAGGCTGTGCTGCTGTCATATAGGCAATGTTTTACTTTATTAATAATATTAACATACAGTATGTATAACCTTATACAGTAGTTGTAAGGTGAATAACAGGAAAATGAGGAAGGGTGTTGGTGAATTATCGAGGGTGTGTGTGTGTGTGTGTGTGTGTGTGTGTTCAGGTGTACAGTGTGTGTATGTTTAGCCTTCCAAGAGCTCCAGAGATAGAACAGGAAATGAGCGCGACCTGACCTGCAGACAGGAGCTCTCTGACCTGGATTGTGTCCATTTATATCTACAGACACACAGGATCACAAACTGCACTTCAACCACAAAACTCACAATTCAGCTCAATCTATTTCTGTTACCAAAATAGCTCTGCAATACATTTCTAAATATAAAAGAGCACTTATAATCAGTGTTGGGGAAAGTTACTTTTAAAAGTAATGCATTACAATATAAAAAAAGTGTGACGTGACATGTGGCCAAGTATGGTGACCCATACTCGGAATTAGTGCTCTGCATTTACCCATCCAAAGTGCACACACACAGCAGTGAACACACACCCGGAGCAGTGGTGTGAGTAAAGTGTGTGTGTGTGTGTGTGTGTGTGTGAGTGAGATTAATTAATGCATATTCATATTTATTTTAGAGCTACAGTAACATCTTCTGATTTCTCTCAACATGGCGACAGGAGAGCTGTCAATCAATAAATTGGAAAAAAAAGTAACTTGTGTTACTTATTTGAAAAAGTAACTCAGATATTCTCTTGTAAATGAAAAAGTAATGCGTTACTTTACTAGTTACTTGAAAAAGTAATCTGATTACATAACTCACGTTACTTGTAATGCGTTACCCCCAACACTGCTTATAATATAAAAAGTGAAAAGACTGTAGATGTTTGATATTCTGCCATTATAGATATTTAGAGTACATTGCAAAAAAAAAAGTTTTTCGAGATTGTAAATAAAGATTTTTCGGAGTACGTTTTGCAATACTAAAAACTTATTCCATACAATACTATTTCAGTCTTTCTACTTAAAATGTAATTCCCATTTAATTTAATGTGTTCCCTGCTGTTCCTTTTTTGGTGAAATTCACCAGCAATTCCTGAGTGAAAATTATTTCAAAGTAAATCCTACACATTTTTAAGTGTACTTAAATACTTAATACTTAAATACTTTATACAGTAATTTAATAATACATTATATCAAAAACTACCGTTAAGAGTTACCAAACGCATGACCACATTACTAATCTTAACTACTGATTTTAATGCTTTTATCCAAAGTGACGTACAAATGTGCAATACAATGAGCGGTTCGTCTTAATTAAAGCTATATGAGATTATGTTTTGGTTAAAAAATCTACTATTATAATTAAATATTAGTGATTTAATGAATGCATGAATGAATAAATACATGTGTGTTTTGGTTAAAAAATACTATGATAAAATCATACATACAGATATGCACAAAATATAAAAATTTAATGAGTAAATATTGATATTATTGTGTTATTGTGTATCACAGAAATGAGAAAATATTGTGTTTTGGGTAAAAAAAAAAAGTACTATAATATAATTTAGGGTTAGGGTAAGTATTTGCGATAAAAAAAAAATACTGATATCAGTATGTTATTTTGTAGCACATAGATGAGTGTGTTTTGGTTAAAAAATGTATTATGATATAATAAATCATTTTTTATTTAATTAACTAATGAATAACAATTAAGTAAATAAATAAATAAAGTGTGACACAGACACACACTTTTTAATTATTTTTTTATATAATATAATATAATATAATATAATATATTAGTGTGTAATTTTGTAGCAGAGAAATGGGATTAGTGTGTTTCAGTTAAGAAATGTACTATAAAATAATGAAATATTTATCAAAATTAAAAATAAATAAATAAAATGAAATGAAACGGAATAAAATAAAATATATACAGACTGTGTAGTTACAACGCTAACCAGTCAAACCTTGAGCTCTCAAAATAGCTTGACTAAAAGGTGCACGAGTTTAGAAACCTGTCGGAAAACAGTCATTATTTTTGCTAATTTACTTGGTGCACAAAATAAACGCCCAGTTTAAACCTCATATTATGGTAATTTTCCGATATTTAAATCAACCAAATGATGTACTAATAACTGTGATCGCTCTGAAACATGGACACTGATAGGAAATGTGACCTGTTTCTCAGGTCAGAGAGACAGAAAAAGTGTTTGCTCCAGTACCAGAAAACGAATCCTACGATCACTCCTGCGATTCAACACAGTTTTATGCAGTGGCTCCTGAAAGCCATCAGTGACAGAGCGAGGCAGATCTGGGTGTTTCCCTGAGGTACGATCAGAGGCGCTGCTAAACTTCTGTGATAATGGGCAGAATGTGTGAACACATGCGAACGGACTGTGAGAACAGGAACGGAGCCAAAACATGAAGAGCGGTGCAGATACGGGACGGCTCGTTCATGTGAGAGAGAAAAACGCCTGTTCTTTGTGTGGAGCGGCTACAGGAGGGCGTCTGAATTTTTGTCCCAATCATGACACGGATTAAAGCGCAGAACAGAGTGTGGGAAAACCTCTCGGGACCCCTCCTCTCCCTCTCTCAAACTTGCCTTCAACCGCTCAGCGTGTCGTTTCTCTCTATCTCTCGGCTCAATCTCTTGATGTTTCTCTCAAACCCTTGTGCTTTTTTTCTCTCCTCTCCGCAGGCCCTTTTCCCACTCAACTCCTGCCTCTCTCTCTCACTCCTCCAGCCGTGGTGAAGAGCTGGAACTCTCTCCGAACGCTTGAAATCAGCCAGCAGCTGCTTCTGACAGAGGGAGCGAAACGGACGTTAAGATTACAAACGACTGCCAAATATACAATTTAAACAACAAAAGAGCAATTTCTAGCTGAGCGTAACTAGAAAAAATATACATTTGCATGGATTTGAAAGATTTTATTCATTTCAAGTGGTGTAAAACACAATTTCCAGGTTATCTATGACCATGTGAACTATGAAATGCTCAAGCTAGCATGACAATTACAGTCATTTAAATAAAAAAGACTAGTTAAATATAAATTATATGCATTCTGGAAAGGTAAAGGTTCATTCATGTTCGCTGGCTCTCAGTCTGTCCGTCTGAATTCACACACTCATTAATCTGATAGTCGAGTTCTGCTCAAATTCCACTCTCACGCGTCCCACATTCTTTCGCTTTTGTCACTTTTTTTCTTTCCTCCGTCTCACCCCCCCGTTCTCATGAATTACTGCTGTTCACAAGGCTTGTCCCATCCACTCACACACACACACACACACGCACGCTCTAACACGGCCTGCCAGAGTTTATTAGGCACATATCGACTGAGCGGTAAAGAGCAAACAAACGACTGAAGCAGTGGTTCTAATATTCAGACTGCAGGCAGGTTTATAAGTGTGAAGTACTAGCTGCTGAAGATGGACCCTGATGCCCACCTGGAATATTATTTGCCATTCTGAATTTTCCCACTGCTCGTAGTATCAGACACACATTCCCGAGCAGATCTCAGCGTCACTATGGGCTCAAACAGCCAGATGATTCATGAATGACTGCTGTAAAGCATGCTGAAAACTACTATATTATACTATACTGATGTTTGACTGTTTATGCAAATATAAAATCATATTACAAAAGAATAATATCAATAAATAATGTTATTAATAATATAATAAAATAATATAACAATATTAGTATGTAAATGTTTTAATACAAAATGTAAAATAATATTATAAACAACATTAATAATTAATGTAAATAATAAATAATATAATATGCAAATATCTTAATATAAAATCTATAAAATAATTTATATATATATGTGTGTGTGTGTGTATGCATATATCACAAGATATATAATGTATAATGTATATATATAAAACATCTATCTGATGACACTCAATATTATATATTAAAATATAGAATTTATGTGAAGATACCTCAGTTCATCCCATATTGCAAACAATAACGATAAATAATACAGTATTAAAAAATGAATTTATAAATGTTGAATATTAATATATTATAAAAATAAAAAATAGTTTTTAAAATATTTAAAAATATATCAAATGTCTTACAAAATTATTTCTTATAATGCTATATATTATTTATTATTAATATATATATATATATATATATATATATATATTCATTAATATACTATTAATACAATCCAATATAATAAGAAATTTAGTGTATGTATATTTGTATATATGTACATACACAAAATATATTATGTTTAATATTGTTTTAAGCATAATTATAAATGAAATATAATTTTTATGTAAATCATATATACAATAATAAATATGAATCATTATTTCAATTAAAATCTGTGAGGTAAAGAGTTGAAAGCACTTTGTTCTTCTTTCTTTCTCGTTCTCTGTGCTGTTATGTTCTCATGATGTCAGTGTGTCTGTGTGGATGCCACCCAGCGTGAGCTGGCACACAGTCGGCCGACCGGCCAAACCCCAAACCCCGAACCCCCCGGCAATTACCCTCTCTACCCATAAGCCCCTCCCCGGCCCTGCTCCTTTCCCAGGGGTTCAGGGGCCACTGTACTCACTACACCTCGTTTCCCATACGCATAATCTTGAATTTTCTCCCCCGGCTCATAAAGAGGCGCTCGAAGCCCCTCAGTCTGCAGCCCATTTCCCAAACACTCTCCCTTTATCTGCCAAACCCTCAGCCTCTTTCTGTCTTTTCCACGCTCTCTTTTTGCAGATAATCCGTGCTATTTTTTTTCTTTCCAGTAATATGCTTTCAAGTTTGCCCTGCAGTATTTCCAACTTTAAATTCCTAGGATGAATTCGATTCTCATTCACGTTTAACTTGCTCTTTGAAAATGAAGGTACAGGGCAGTTTTAAAGTTTTTAAAAGTTCTATTCTATTTTAATGTAAATCTTTTAAGGAAACAAGTTTTATAGTAAACACTGATACGACTAGCCCATGAAACCACTGCAACTGATTTATTACGTGTACAAATAACAGGTCTGTCTCTCAGTGTCGTATGTTTCTCAGGGATCAGCATGTGTGCGATCTACATGCTCTGTAATGAAATTGTCTTTACCCATCAGAAACTTAATTGTCAGCAGCCTTTCATTCTCGCAGCCCGTAAAATTGACATAAGCTTTACAAACATTCCACACATAGTTTCTCAGGAAGAGCAAATTCAATCACACACACACACACACACACACGTGTTTCTAAAGGATTTAAACATGCAGTACAAGTCATATTGCTGTGTTGTTTCATTTTGATGATTCAACTATAAATCAATAACAAATAATTACAATAAACTATTTAATCGGAATCAGTAAGTGCAAAATCCACACTTCTTGAAATTAGACATTTGTGAGTTTAGCATTAAACATGAGTAAAAATGCACTTGAAATGCGAATTAAGGTGTTAACGAGTGTTTACATGTACAACAAAACCCTGATAATGATCAGAAATCATCTATTTTATAACCCTGTTTTTAGGGTTCGCATGCAAATCAATAAACCCATATCACAAGAGAAACCATCTGAACGTAAACAGACATGATAAAGGTGTTTACATGCTAAACACTGATACGACTAGCCCATGAAACCACTGCAACTGATTTATTGCGTGTACAAATAACAGGTCTGTCTCTCAGTGTCGTATGTTTCTCAGGGATCAGCATGTGTGCGATCTACATGCTCTGTAATGAAATTATCTTTACCCATCAGAAAATTAATTGTCAGCAGCCTTTCATTCTCGCAGCCCGTAAAATTGACATAAGCTTTACAAACATTCCACACATAGTTTCTCAGGAAGAGCAAATTCAATCACACACACACACACACACGTGTTTCTAAAGGATTTAAACATGCAGTACAAGTCATATTGCTGTGTTGTTTCATTTTGATGATTCAACTATAAATCAATAACAAATTATTAATAATTACAATAAACTATTTAATCGGAATCAGTAAGTGCAAAATCCACACTTCTTGAAATGAGACATTTGTGAGTTTAGCATTAAACATGAGTAAAAATGCACTTGAAATGCAAATGAAGGTGTTAACGAGTGTTTACATGTACAACAAAACCCTGATAATGATCAAAAATAATCTATTTTATAACCCTGTTTTTAGGGTTCGCATGCAAATCAATAAACCCATATCACAAGAGAAACCATCTGAACGTAAACAGACATGATAAAGGTGTTTACATGCAAAACAAAATCTAGATGTTAAGGGATTTAAAATGATTTAAATGACATTTCGTGTCTTCTGGTGTAAGATGTGCATGTAAACACACTTCATGATTGGCTAATGCTGTTTATGATTATTTTAATTAGGCCTAAGAAAGCTTATCACACCATTAGTTTCATATTATGAGCTGAAATTACTAACCAAATCATGTTGTTGCAGGCTGCATAAATGTCTAACAGCATTAGTACTATTTCAGTGGTTTATCTCATTACTGCTGTTGTTGATGGATTTACAGGGTGGGCGGAGCTTATGTACTGCACTATATCTCATAAATGTTGTTGCTGACTGATTTACAGAGTGAGGAGGGCTAAATGTGAGCCAAAATCATCCCAATTAAAAGAACCAAAGACTTAAACTACTTCAGTCTGTGTGCATTGAATTTATTTAATACACGAGTTTCACAATTTGAGTTGAATTACTGAAATAAATGAACTTTTCCACGACATTCTAATTTATAGAGATGCACCTGTATTTGAACAACTGCTGTTTCTGAGTGACGTGTGAAGTGGGCGGGGCTTATAGATAGCAGCACATTATTTTATAACTGCTATTTTATAGTGACTTTTGGAGTAGGCGTGGCTTATGAAGTCCTGCACTATATTTAAAAACTGCTGTCTTTAATTCATTTATGGGGTGGGTAGGGCTTATGCACTGCTGCATTATATTTCATAACTGCTGCTGTTGAGTGATTTGTGAAGTGGGCGGGGCTTATGGGTTCTTGCACTATTAGATCTCCCCTCCTGTGATCCCAGCAGCCTGCGCAGCCGCGTTATCTCCAGTTTATACCTGCACAAAGACGCCACACCTGAGCATCACATGCCACCAAGAAAGTAATTTCCTTAATATCACAGGTGGGTGTTCAAATACAGTACCTGCCCAGGTGATTGTCCACATACTCCTTCAGCTCAGACACCTGCTCCTCTGCAACCGTTGCCCTTGTGATCAGTTGGGCGCGCTCCCTCTCTTGAGCTTCCTGTTGGAATTTTACTCTCACGACTAAACGAGTCCACACATGTATCAAAGCCTCCCCACTCATAAAGATAAAAGCTCCACATCCCTCCTGATGTAGCAGGTGCACAGAGTTTGCTCTCACTGGGTCAAACTTTGAGCAGACACCATCGTATCCTCTTCTGAGTGTGGCACTGACTCGGGCGATCCGAACACAGGTGCTCAGGTGAGATAGATGCTATTAACATACGTCTCCTGTGATAATTTGTGATCAGATTTCGAGGGGAGGGTCTATGATTTTGTGACTGTTATTTTAGTATTACAGTATTATACACAATAGATGCTATTATAGTATTTACACATATTTTGAATTTATTTTTTAAACTTATAATTATATAGCTTTTGTTATAATTCAGCCTTTATTTTAATTTTAGTTGAATTGTTTTATATGCTCGTTATTTTTATTAGTGCTTCTTTTAAACATTTCTATTTAGCTTTAATTATTTTTTATGGCAGATTTAGTTTTAGCAATTTTAGTACAGCTAGTTTAGTACAGCTAGTTACAATTTTTCACCTAATATATATATTTTATTTTATTTCAATTAACTAATTAATTAAATTAATTACAAAAATAGTCTTAGTTAACAATAACACCATGGGTACAAACATCACTTATTATATCATGCTTATGAAACACTAAAAAGCTGGCAAGCTGCTGTTCTCAAATATACAACAGAAGATGATTCTAATTCTCATTGTTCTTTTAATTGAGCACCTGTTGTTTACTGAACTTCATGTGTGTGTGCTTCACATGATCTGTGTTGCTACATGTTGATATCAGACATACTGAAGATGTTCCTTGAAATCTTTTGCATCCTTTACAAATGTGCTTGCCAATCTGGCAACATTTCAAAACCCTAGCGCAGTGTATGATTGACAGGTGAGCAGTTGCTCTTTTGTTATTGTGGTCGTGTACACATGCACAAATGTGGTTTCAGTGATCACAAAACATTTTGGGCCCAATTTCACGTGTATTTAGTGCCGCCCACTAGTGTTTGGTAACCCGAGATGGGTAAAAAACTGAGCAGATGTCATGGTGTGTCTCACACTTTCTCCTCTAGCTGTCGTTGGTGCCCCTCGTAGCTTTTCCTCAGTTTCTCTAACTCGTCTCTCAGGTTATTCTGCACTCCCTGCATTGAAAAACAACATCAAACATGTATAAAAAACACCATATTACAGAAACATTATGGATAAGCACATTACAACAACAAGAAATGTGATACTTGATAGCTATATAGCGTATCTCTGCTTGATTATTTATCTATAAATTGTATTATTATATCTATAAACTATATTACTGCCTGGCTATTTATTAAAAGTTGGAAAAAATAAGTGCATCCAGCTTTATCCACATAAATACAGTACAACTTGACTGTTTATATTGTAGCAAAATGTAAAAATATTATCGCCTAGCTCAATATATAAAGTCAGATATATAAGTACACCTTACTTTATCTGCATTCATTCAGTATACTCACATAAAGTGATATATGCTATGTAGCATATCTCAACTGTCTGATTGTTCATATTGTCGCAAAATGTCACTATATTATTGCCCAGCTTTAATCTGCTAAATGCGACTATAAGGCATGAAGTTTTTAAGATATTATAAACATTAAAATCATGGTTAGTGTGAAGCGTTTTAGTAGAGTACCAGGTCCTGCTCCCTCATAAGGTTTATTTATTTGTTTGTTTGCTTATATATTTATTTTTGTAAAATGGTCTTTTGTGCTATCATCTATGCAAAGTTGGTTGATAACATAACTGCAATAAAGTAACATCATAGATAACAATTACTTGATTACATAGGATTTATATATATATATATATAAATATATATATATATTGTTGTACTCGCTAGTTTTGGTTATTGGGGGGGGTTATATATTTCACGCACTTACCACGTTTTTCAGTTTAAAGATCTCCGCTTCATACTGCTCTCTCATTTTATTGGCCTCAATCTGCACATCAACAAGGTCTTTT